CTCCACAATTGCTCCTATAGACGGTATCGCTATTGTAAAACGTAAAACTGGTGGTTGAGGTATCATTCAGATCTTGCATTTTGATGGGCCAACTGGTGCCACCTGGATCAGTAGCCCATATGAAGAAACTGACTCAACTGGTACTGTGACCCCTACTCAGGAACTGACTCAGGGCAAGAAGACAGTTTTAATTCCCTGTGATTTTATCTGAGACCCAACCAATCGGCATTCCCCATTCCCTAGCCCACTGCCTACCAAACTATCCTTGAAAAACCCTAGCCTCCGAATTCTCAAGGAGGCAAATTTGAGAATTATCAGCTGTCTTCCTCACTTGGTTGGTCTTGTGACAATTAAACTTTTTCTTTGCTTCAAACAAAATAAATAAGTGGTGCTGGGAAAACTGGATGTCCATATGCAGAAGAATGACACTAGACCCATATCTCTCATTATATACAAAAATCAAATCAAAATGGATTAAAGATTTAAATCTGGCCGGGTGTGATGGCTCACTCCTATAATCCCAGCACTTCAGGAGGCCAAGGTGGGTGGATCACCTGAGACTGGGAGTTCAAGACCAGACTGACCAACATGGAGAAACCCCATCTCTACTAAAAATACAAAAAAGTAGCTGGGTGTGGTGGCATATGCCTGTAATCCCAGCTACTTAGGAGGCTGAGGCAGGAGAATCGCTTGAACCTGGGAGGCAGAGGTTGCAGTGAGCTGAGATCGTGCCATTTGCTCTCCAGCCTGTACAACAAGAGTGAAATTCCATCTTAAAAAAAAAAAGACAAACTTAAATCTAAGACTTCAAACTATGAAACTACTAAAAGAAAACACTGGAGAACCTCTCCAGGACATTGGACTGGACAAAGTTTTTGAGTAATACCCCACAAGCACAGGCAATGAAGCAAAAAATGGACAAATGGGATCACATCAAGTCAAGAAGCTTCTGCAGAGCAAAGGAAACAATCAATATAGTGATGAGAAAACCCACAGAATGGGAGAAAATATCTGTAAACTATCCATCTGACAAGGAATTAATATCCAGAATATATAAGGAGCTCAAACAACTCTGTACTTAAAAAATCTAATAATCCAATTTAAAAATAGGCAAAAAATCTGAATAGGTATTTCTCAAAAGAAGACAAACAAATGGCAAACAGCATATGAAATGGTGCTCAACATCACTGAGCATCAGAAAAATGTAAATGAAAACTACAATGAGATATCATCTCGCCTAAGTTTAAATGGCTTTTATCCAAAAGACAGATAAGGATGAATGCTGGTGGGGATGCGGAAAAAAGGGAACCCTTGGTACATTGCTGGTGTGCATGTAAATGAGTACAACCACTATGGAGGACAGTTTGGAGGTTCCTCACAAAACTAAAACTAAGCTGGGCACGGTGGCTCATGCCTGTAATCCCAGTACCTTGGGAGGCCAAAGCGGGCACATCACTTGAGGTCAAGAGTTCAAGACCAGCCTGCTCAACATGGTGAAACTCTGTCTCTACAAAAAATACAAAAATTAGCCAGGCATGGTGGCGCGCACTTGTAATCCCAGCTACTCAGGAGGCTAAGGCAAGAGAATCGCTTGAACCGGGAGGCAGAGGTCGCAGTGAGGCTAAATCGCACCACTGCACTCCAGCCTGGGAGACAGAGCAAGACTCCATCTCAAAAATAAATAAATAACGAATGATACCCTGTCATTTGCAACAACACAAGTGGAGCCGAAAATTAAGTGAAACAAGTGAGTTTTTCACCATACTGATGCTGGGAAAAGAAAAAGTGAAACAAGCCAGGCACAGAAAGACAAACTTCACGTTTTCACTTATTTCTGGAAGCTAAAAGTTAAACAACTGAACTCACAGAGATAGAGAACAGAAGGATGTCTGCCAGAGACTGGGAAGGGTAGCAAGGTGGGAGGAGGTAGACATGGCTAATGGGTACAAAAAAAAAACAGAAACAATAAGACCAGGTATTTGATAACACAACAGGGTGACATAGTCAATAATAATTTAACTGTACATTTAAAACCAACTAAAAGAGTATAATTGGATTGTTTGTAACACAAAGAATGCTTGAGGTGATAATTCCATTTACCCTGATGTGACTATTATACCTGGTATGTCTGTATCAAAATACCACATTTACCCCAAATACATATACCTACTATATACTCACAGAAACTACAAATACCTTTTAAAAAGTAGGCCATGTATTCTAATACCAAAAAATATAAGGCACTTAGGAATAAAGCTCTCCAAGAAAATTTTAAAACCCTATGAGGTGGCGTGTGGTGGCTCATGCCTGTAATCCCAGCACTTTGGGAAGCCGAGGCGGACAGATCACCTGAGGTCAGGAGTTCAAGACCAGCCTGGCCAACACAATGAAACCCCATCTCTACCAAAAAATACAAAAATTAGCTGGGTGTGGTGGCCTACACCTGTAGTCCCAGCTATTGGGGAGGTTCAGGTGGGAGAATCACTTGAACCTGAGAGCAGAGGTTGCAGTCAGCTGACATTGTGCCCCTGCACTCCAGCCTAGGTGACAGAGTAAGACCCTGTCTCAAAACAAAACAAAAAAGCCCTATGAAAATATACTTAAAAATGAGGGACCAAGATTAACACAAGTATCGTGTTTGTGGATAGGAGGATTCAACATTTTAATTATTTATGTCAATTCCTTTAATTCAATGCAACTCAATCTAAAGCTCAACAGCATTTTTCATGGACATTGGCAAATTGATTCTAAAATGTGTAAGGAAAAGGAAGGAGGCTGGGTGCAGTGGCTTATACCTGTAATCCACCATGTGTACACACACACACACACACACACTTTTTTTTTTTTTTTTGAGGCAGAGTCTCACTTGCTATGTCAACCAGGCTGGAGTACAGTGGTGCAATCTCAGTTCATTGTAACCTCTGCCTCCCAGGTTGAAGCAATTCTCTGTCTCAGCCTCTTGAATAGGGGGATTATAGGCGCCCACCACCACACCTGGCTAATTTTTTTGTATTTTTAGTAGAGATGGGGTTTCACCATACTGGCCAAGCTGGTCTTCAACTCCTGACTTTGTGATCCACCCACCTTGGCTTCCCAAAGTGCTGGGATTCCAGGCACGCCCAGCCAGCGAAAATATTTTAAAATCCCAGACTTCATGTAATTTCACCCCAGTACACTTAAGTAAACATCTCTAAAACATAAACATTCTTACATAACCATGACATTTTCATACCTAACGAAATTCACAATAATGCCACAGTAGCATCTAATATCTAGTTCCTATTCAAATTTTCCTGATTCAGATTTCCCATTTGTCTCATAGAGTTGCCAAAATGATTTTGAAGAAGAAAAACAAGGTGTATGGGAGTTAACAGATTTTAAGACTTATTAAAGACATTGTAGTATTTCAGCAGCAATGGAAAAAATAAAAATAAAAAAACCACCAAAACCAAAAACACCCACCACTGGAACAGAAGAGTGTGCCCACAAATGGATCCAACAGTGTGCCCAGAAATAGGACCCAAGTTCCAATACTGGAACTTGGTATTGCAAGAGTTTGGGGAATTTGGCATTACAACTCATTGGGAAAAGGACAGACTATTAATAGTACTGCAATAACTGGTGAAAAAATACATGATCCTAGCTGGGTTCAGTGGCTCATGCTTGTAATCCAAACATTTTGGGAGGCTAAGGCAGGAGGATGGCTTGAGGCTAGGAGTTCAAGACCAGCCTGGCCAACATAGAAAGACCCTCTCTATTGAAAAAAAAAAAAAAAAATCCTGGATCCTCGTATCACACAACAAAGAAAAAACTTGTTGATGGAATAAAGATCTAAGTATTAAAATAAATTTTTTTTTTTTTTTTTTTTTGAGACTGAGTTTCATGTTACCCAGACTGGAGTGCAATGGCGCGATCTCGGCTCACCGCAACCTCCGCCTCCTGGGTTCAGGCAATTCTTCTGCCTCAGCCTCCTGAGTAGCTGTGATTACAGGCACGCACCACCATGCCCAGCTAATTTTTTTTTTGTATTTTTAGTAGAGACGGGGTTTCACCATGTTGACCAGGATGGTCTTGATGTCTTGACCTCGTGGATCCACCCGCCTCGGCCTCCCAAAGTGCTGGGATTACAGGCTTGAGCCACCGCGCCTGGCCTTAAAATAAATATTTTTAAATTTTTAGAAGAAAATACAGAATTCTTTGTAATCCAGATCAACAAACCACACAAAAAGGCAGCCTTTAAAGGTTTAAAAAAAATTTAACAAACTCAATCATATTAAAATTTAACTTTCAGTACCTCAAAGATACCATAAATAAACTAAAAGCCTAGCCATAGACTGGGAGAGGATATCTGCAATGTGTGTTTCTGACAAAGGATCAATATCCAGAATATAAAAGAATTCTGGCTGGTTGCTGTGGCTCACCCCTGTAATTCCAGTTCTTTGGGAGGCTGATGCTGGAGGATTGTTTGAGGCCAGGAGTTTGACACCAGCCTGGACAACAAAGTAAAACCTCATCTCTATTAAAAAAACAAAAAGTATGAATAAGTCCAACAAATCAGTAGGACAAAAAAAAAAAAAAATGTAAGTAATCCAACAAAAAAACAGGAGAAAATCTTAAGAAGCCAGTAAGTGTAAGAAAAGATGATGAGGCCGGGTGCGGTGGCTCAAGCCTGTAATCCCCGCACTTTGGCAGGCCGAGGCGGGTGGATCACGAGGTCAAGAGATCGAGACCATCCTGGTCAACACGGTGAAACCCCGTCTCTACTAAAAATACAAAAAATTAGCTGGGCACGGTGGTGCGTGCCTGTAATCCCAGCTACTCAGGAGGCTGAGGCAGGAGAATTGTTTGAACCCGGGAGGCGGAGGTTGCAGTGAGCCGAGATCGCGCCATTGCACTCCAGCCTGGGTAACATGAGTGAAACTCCATCTCAAAAAAAAAGGAAAGATGATGAACTTTATCAGTAATCAGATAAATGTTAATTTGAAACAATAAGTACATACCATTTTCAATCTACGTAATTGACAAATGTTTTAAAGTCTGACAATGCAAATGATGTTGAGAATGTGGTGGGACAGTAAACTGGTCCAATCATTCTGGAGAGCAATTGGACTATATCTGGTGAAGCTGATGGCTGTGATACTCTGAAGCAACAATTCATAATTTGTTTCAATTACGGCTACATTCTCTAGAGAAACTCAACACTGCATACATGATGACTCACAGATGACTATCCATAGAAGGAATGTATTACGGGAAAACGTTTAAAAAAACAGCCAGCCGGGCGCGGTGGCTCAAGCCTGTAATCCCAGCACTTTGGGAGGCCGAGGCGGGTGGATCACGAGGTCAAGAGATCGAGACCATCCTGGTCAACATGGTGAAACCCCGTCTCTACTAAAAATACAAAAAATTAGCTGGGCATGGTGGCGCGTGCCTGTAATCCCAGCTATGCAGGAGGCTGAGACAGGAGAATTGCCTGAACCCAGGAGGCGGAGGTTGCGGTGAGCCGAGATCGCGCCATTGCACTCCAGCCTGGGTAACATGAGTGAAACTCCGTCTCAAAAAAAAAAAAAAAATAAAATAAAAACAGCCTGTTTACCAACAAGAATTTGGATAGAAAACTTCAGTGAAGTCATATAATGGAATCTAATCATCAGTGAGCATGAATAAACTGAATATACATGTATCATATAATATAGAGGATTTCAGAAATAATGTTGATTCAGAATAACAAGTTGCAGGCCAGGTGTGGTGGCTCACACCTGTAATCCTAGCACTTTGGGAGGCTGAGGCAGGCAGATCACCTGAGGTCAGTGGTTGGGAGGCTGAGGCAGGAGAACTGCTTAAACCTGGGAGGCAGAGGTTGCAGTGAGCTGAGATCACACCACTGCACTCCAGCCTGTGTGACAGAGTGGGACCCTGTCTCAAAAAAAAAAAAAGACTAACAAGTTGCTGAAGAATATACCAAATATGGGCTAAAGTATGTGACACTGGCTGGGTACAGTGGCTCATACCTGTAATCTCAGCACTTTGGAAGGCCAAGGTGGGAAGATCACTTGAGCCCACATATTGAAGACCAGCCTAGTCAACATAGTGAGACCCTATCTCTACAAAAAATTAAAAAGGAAAAATTTAGTGGGGCATGGTGGCATGCACCTGCACTCCCAGCTGGTTGGGAGGCTGAGGCAGAAGGACTGCTTGAGACCAGGAGTTCAAGGCTTCAGTGAGCTATGATTATGCTACTACACTCCAGCCAGGGCAACGCACAGCAAGTTCCTGTCTAAAAAAAAAGGAAAAAAGTATGCACTACTATATATTGTTTTGAGACACACGGATTTGGGACACACTGAAAAATAAGATTTAACCCAAAAGGCCATCAATAGGGATTGGTTAAATAAAGTAGGAAACAAATTCCACATAATCTTTTTAAAATGATGAGATAAATCAGTATTTTAAAAGTGCAAGAGACAAAAGGTGAAAGAGTACAGAGTAGCTTATTTAATGATTCTTTCCATTTTTATAAAATTAAACACATGCTAGCAAATGAACAGTAGAAATTATGAGTGTTGGAATAAGGTCTACAGCACCAAATCTTCAATGTTTATAGTACAAAGCATAGACAACGTCTAAAACTGGGGGCGGGGGAAAACACCTCAAGAAACAGGTCAGGTATAGTGACTCACACTGTAATCCCAGCAATTAGGGAGGCCTAGGCAGGAGAATACTTGACACCAGGACACTATCAAGGGCACTATAGTGAGACCCCATTTACACCAAAAAACTAAAAGCAAAAAATTAACTAGGTGCAGTGGCATGGGCCTGTAATGCCAGTTACTTGGGAGGTGGAGGTGGAATGATTGCTAGAAGGAGTTCAAGGCTGCAGTGACCTACAACTGTTCCACTGCACTCCAGCCTGGGTGACAGAGCAAGATCCTGTCTCCAAAAAAAAAAAAAGAAAGTAAAGAAAGGGAAATAGGCTGGGCTCAGTGGCTCACACCTGTAATCCCAGCACTTTGGGAGGCCGAGGTGGGTGGATCACCTGAGGTCAGGAGTTCAAGAGCAGCCTGACCAATGTGGTGAAACCAGTCTCTATTAAAAAATACAAAAATTAGCCAGGCGTGGTGGTGGGCATCTGTAATCCCAGCTACCTGAGAGGCTGAGGCAGAAAAATCGCTTGAACCTGGGAGATGGAGGTTGTAGTGAGCCGAGATCACGCCATTGCACTCTAGCCTGAGCGACAGAGCAAGACTCCGTATCAAAATAAATAAATAAAATGTATATAAAAAAGAAAGGGAGATAAATGCCATAAAAAACAGTTAAAAGAATTGAAAGTGGTTGCTCTGAGGAGTGAAAACCACAGATAGAGAGGAGTTAGGCATGTTAAAAGCCTTGGTGTATTATGCGACTTTTAAAACCATAAAGATGTATTATTTGAAAAAAGTAAAAATGAAATATAAAATATTCCACTATGAGTGACCTTCAAGAAGAAATATCTATTACAGAGAAACAGTGTGGATTCTAGGACCTGATTTATGCTAAACACAAGGAACAGCCAGATGCAGTGGCTCACACCTGTAATCCTAGCACTTTGTAAGGTTGAGGCTGGAGGATTACTTGAGCCCAGGAGTTTAAGTTTACAGTCAGCTATGATCATGCCACTGCACTCTAGCTCCAGCCTGGGCAACAGATGGAGATCCTGTCTCAAAAAAAAAAAAGGCAAGCAACCAAAGTACCTCCAAGGACATTCTGATAACTAGAGAGCTCAATATGCCACCAGTGTGAAGAACTGAAACCAGTCAATTTTTTAATTTTTATTTTTGAGATGGGGTCTCTGCGTGGCCCAGGCTGGTCTCAAACTCCTGGCCTCAACCAATCCTTCCACAAGATAAAAAGCCAATACTTTTTTTTTCTGAGACAGAGTCTCATTCTTTTTGACCAGGCTGGAGTGCAATTGAGCAATCTCGGCTATAACCTCTGCCTTCTGGGTTTAAGTGATTCTCCTGCGTCAGCCTCCTGAGTAGCTGGGATTACAGGTGCCTGCCACCACACCTGGCTAATTTTTTGTATTTTAGTAGAGATGGGGGTTTCACCATGTTAGCCGGCTGGTCTCGAACTCCAGACCTCAGGTGATCCACCCGGCTCAACCTCCCAAAGTGCTGGTATTACAGACGTAAGCCACCGCACACAGCCAAAAGGCCAATACATTATTAACAGTGTCTACAAATGCACTAGCCACAGCCCTAGGTACAATGTGAATGGAATTAAATACACAATAAACTCAGGAGGATTTCAAATTTTGACAACTGCCACATCAATGACAGAAATACAGCAAAGCATAGGGAAGGAGAGAGGCATACCTGTTTTGGCGGAATGAACAAAGAAGGCCTCTATGGAGGAGACATTTGAGTGAAACTTGGATGATAAGGAATCAGCTATGCCATGTTCTATAGGGAAAATATACTAACCAAGAAGCCAGACCAAATGTAATGATCCTGTGATTCTGGGACTGGAATGAATTTAATTTGTACAGGGACAGAAAAGTCAGTGTGGCTATGGTATAGTGAACAACAGAACTAAAAAGATGCGTAAGCCAGGCTTGGTGGCATGTGTCTATAGTCCCAGCTACCTTGGAGGCTGAGGTGGGAGGATGACTTTAGCCCAGGAGTTTGCAGCTGCAGTGAGCTATGGCTGCGCCATTGCACTTCAACACTTCTGCCTGGGCGACCTCCCCCTGCCCCCGCCCTAAAAAAAAGATGACAAAAGATTCAGGAGAGTTAAGGGTTTTACAAGGGAGTGGCTGCAGTGGGAGATCATAAAACATAAACCAGAAAACAAGGACATGACATCAGTAAAAAAAGTTTAAAGAAAAAAAAAAAAAGGCTAGGCACAGTGGTTCACGCCTGTAATCCCAGCACTTTGGGAGGCCAAGGTGGGTGGATCACCTGAGGTCAGGAGTTTGAGGTCAGCCTAGCTAACATGGTGAAACCCCATCTCTACTAAAAATACAAAAAATTAGCCAGGCATGGTGGTGGACGTCTGTAATCTCAGATACTCGAAAGGCTGAGGCGGGAGAAGTGCTTGAACCCAGGAGGTGGAGGTTGCAGTGAGTCGAGATCACACAATTGCACTCCAGCCTGGGTGACAAGAGCGAAACTCCATCTCAAATAATAGTGATGATGATGATGATGATGGCAGGAGTAACTGAGAAGAACAAGAGCCAGGTGTTAAGCGAATGCAAGAGAGTACCTGGTAGGCTGGAAGATGACCAAAAATAGGGGGAATTAATGTTAAATAGGATGATTGCCAAGGAGTTAGGGTTTTTGAAGAAGTGGATTCAAAGTAGCAACAGTAACCAAAGAAACATCAGGGCACCTGAATTTAAATCCTAGTTTCAGCAATTACTAGCTGTGTGATTTTGACAAATCACTAGTCTCTCACAGCCTCAGGTGCCTCAAGTATAAAATAGGGTTACTTTTAACCACTTTACAGATTGTTTTGAAGGTTAAATGAAACAATGTGGGCGAAAGTGAGTTATGTAATTATGACACAAGTCTTTTGAATTAATATAAGAAGCTACTGAACTCATTTTAGACTTCACATCAATGTTGCTAATGCTAGCGAAATCTGTACACAGAACACGCAGATAAGGCACACTGAGTGGATGCAGGTGAGGCAGAAACAGTGACCTGGAAAGATCATGGTATCAAATCGTTCTGAGGACCGAAAAGACAGGCAGTGCTTGCCCCCTTAAGATACGAGTTCACGCAGTGAAAATAACATACAGTTTCCTCTTCATTTCGATTGAAATTAAAACGGGTTCCGTTTGGTAACACAAAGCACTAATCAATTCTTTTGTCTCTGAAAATGACATGAGTACCTCATTATCAGAGTATGGTCAAGACTAGTAAAATGGCTATCAGTCAATTCATAATACAGACATCTTCAAGGTGACTTGAAGAAAAACAACATAAAAGATAACTCACTTTCTTAATGGCGACGATTTGGTTGGTATTCTTATCTCTGGCCTTGTAAACCGTGGCAAACTGGAAAGAAAAATAGGAATAACATAAGTTTTGTGGGAGCTTTTGCGTTTGTCTTTTTACATTTCGCGAAGCAAAGAGCCCAGAGTTCCTGAGCGGACCGGCGGCGGCTGGAAACGTGGCGGGTCAGTCTCCGTCCAGCTCCAGGCTACTCTTCAGCAAGGAGAGGCGGCTCAGGGATTCACCCCCAGATGTAAAGACGGGGCAGCAAGTGCGTCTGGGCGGTTTCCCCCAACGAGAACGAACAGCCGAGCCAGACCTCTGGCCTCCACGGGAAACCCGGCAAAGGTGGAGGGTCGCGGGGCTGTCGGCTCCGGGCCCTCCCGTCCCGCCCGAGAGCCTCACCTGCCCCTCCCCAAGGAAGTCCAGCTTCTCATAGCGCTTCGCCCGCGACTTCACGTCCAGAGCCATTCGGCGCCGCAGAGCCCGACTCCAGCCGAAAGGGGCGAGCTCCCAGAGCAGCAGCAATTTAAAGCTACCTTAAAGCCTCCCACAGCCACTTCCGTCCACCGCGGTCCGTCGCGCTGGTATCCCCGCCCCACTTCCGTGGTGGGCGGAGGAAGCCGCGCGGGGCCGGGGCGGTTGGCGGTCCCCAGCCGTCACGTGACGCCTGTCGGTGCCTCAAGTGGAGCATCTTCGATGGCTGCTGTGTCACTCCGTTACCGTTTTTTCTACATTACCAGGGACTGGTCAGCGTTCTAAGACGGTGTCCCCATGTTCGGGATTCGGTAGCTGTCTATGAATGTGGAAGGTCTGGCTCTGTACCTGTTCTCGCTCGAGCGCGTCCTGGCGCCATGGTTGCTATGGACGCCAAACCCTGCTATCTCAGATGACCGAGACGAGTGCCACGTTCTTGCAAGCTGGTTAAGAGCATTCTTAGTTCAGTCCCTTTATGAAGAAGCAGACCCAGGGAAATAAAATCCAACTCATCTGAAACGTGCTGTGGGAATCGACTTCTGGTCCTCCTCAGTTTTCTACTCGGTAAAATGGAAAACATAACGCACTACATCACAGGTGGTTGTGGGGATTAAATAAAATATGCAAAAATCTTAGACATTAGCTCAATTAATTTAGACAGTGCTCAATTAACTTAGCTGTGATGAGTATCCAACCCCTTATCATAGATTGTCATCACAAACACACTAATTCATTTATTCAAAAATATATACTGAGTTCTTTTCCTTTTTCATTTTTCCCTCTTATGGTGCTGTTTTTGTTGTTTTTATTATTTTTTTGAGATGGAGTTTCATTCTTGTTACCCAGACTGGAGTGCAATTGTGCGATCTTGGCTCACCACAACCTCTGCCTCCTGTGTTGAAGCAATTCTCCTGCCTCAGCCTCCCAAGTAGCTGGGACTACAAGGGCGCGCCACCATGCCTAGCTAATTGTTGTTGTTGTTAACTGAAACATCCAGGTAGATATTGAGTGTTTTCTATGTGCCAAGCACCATTGTAGAATCTGAGATAGCAGCAGGGAACAAAGATCCCTGCCTTCCAATGGGAGGAGATAAAAAAGTAAAATATGTGTTATGATACTTAGTAATAAGTGCTATAGATAATAAAGCAGATAAAGGATAATAGAGCAGGACAGAAGCAGGGATGAAGGTTTTAAATAGGGTGGTGCAAGAAAGACATCACTGAAAACCCACGGGAGGGATTGGAGCAGACAAGTGATATGACCTGACTCGCTTCACTCTGGCTATTGGGTGACTATATTACTGATTTTGAGGGACAAAGAAAACAAGGCCTATTAGAGAACTATTGCAGTAACCCAGATGGCTCTGCTGGTGGATGATTACAAGGTTCTGAGCTACAGCAACTGTCAACATGGAAATGTTCCTCCACCTCCCCCTTTTTGTTTGTTTTGAGACTGAGTCTCACTCTGCTGCTCAGCCTGGAATATACTGGCATGATCTGGGCTCACTGCTGGCCCCATCAGTATTCAGCCACTAGATACAACTAGGGCAAATTCCTAACTTTGCTTCCAGTTTCTTCTTCTGTAATAGGAGCTACTCAAAGGATTGCTCCAAGGCTTAAATGACCTCATCCCTGTAAAGCCCTTAGAATAATGTTTGACAGTAAGTGCTTACTACATGTTAGCCATTATCTTTCAGTCCTTTGTCATTACTTGGGTCTAGGCAAAACTCACACTATGCAGAAAACACACCATCTCTCTTGGAGCAAGTCATACCTAGTGATGCTGGTGTCACATGACTTGTTAGTTTCTTCTGACAGATATCACTGTAATAGCAATGTAACTTCACTTGCAGAAATAAGCTAATGAGCTAAATTTGATGATACTGTTGTGAGACTTGAGGTCCCCAAATGTGCCGTGGCATATGAGTTGATAATCAGTATGTTACAGCATGCTGCTGACAAGCAAATTCTCATTTTGGGACATTTAAAATAGGAAAATGAAGAAAGCATTTAGATGATATTCTGAGACAATGAGATACTGTATATATAAAGTATCATTTGAGCACTTTGAACCAAAAGAAAAAAAATACCATTACACATTTGCATAGCATGTTTCACCTTAAAAGCACTTCCACACATCTGTACAGCTAGTGCTCAACTTACGACCATGGTCAGGACCATGGACCGGTCGTAACACGATTTGGTCGTAAGTTGAGTAGGCTATATGTACAGTTGAAATGGTGCACGCAGAGATGGTAGTGCTGCCAGAAGCTGGTCCGCACTGTCGTACGCCCAGCTGGGCAACGTTTGTGCTGCCAGACGCAGAGAAATCATGGCTAGAGATTGTGGTCGTAAAGTTGAATGGTCGTTAAGTTGCATAGGTGGTAAGTCGATCAATACCTGTATTAGCCAGCTTCCAAGATGGCCATGATGATCCTTGCCTTCTGGTATTAATGCTGTTGTGTGGTCTTCTCCCACAATGAAAGAGGCTGTTTGTTGTGTGTGACCAATAGAATATAGCTGAGGTGTGATTTATGAGGCTAGAACAAAAAAGGATGCTGTTGACACGCACGCTTGGGTTATTTGCTCTGGTGAAAGCCAGCCATGTCATGAATTCACTCAGACAACCATGTGGAGAGAAACTAAGTCCTCCTGTCAACAGCCAGCATCAGCTAGTCAGCTATGTAAGTGAGCCATCTTGGAGGTAGATCAGCCAGCCACAACCAAGCCTTCAGACTGTAGTCTCAAGTGGCATCTAATTGCAACCTCATTAGGCACTAAGTCAGAACTGCCCAATGAAGCTGCTTCTGAATTCCTGACCCAGAGAAACCATTTAAGAGTTTAGCCACTTACTTTTGTGGCGATTTGTTACAAAGTGATAGATAATACGCTAATTTGATCCTGCCTATCACACTGTGTAGTACTGGAAAGAAAAACAGAAACTTGAACAAATTAAGCAATTTGCTGATTACATATGTTTAAGTGCCTAACCTCTAAATGCAAATACAGGCATTTGACTGTAAGCCTCACCAGAAGTCTATAATACTATCTGTGGGAGCTTATCCTGGGACAGCAATTCCCACTGCCATGCCTTTTGCCATACCTATATCACAAATTCTGTAACAGTGACAGATTTTTTTCATTTTGACTTTCATGGCAGCAGTTGTAGTAAAGATTGCCCTCAGATATACATTCACAGTTTAGTATTAGGATTTCTAACTGTTGGCTCACAGTATTACTCATAGCACTCTTGACTACCTGAATCTAAATTTATTTCTGAAAGCAAAATAATGGCCCTGGGTTTCTTTTTGCTGAAATAAGTAAACTAAGGGGATGGCAGCAGGGCAGGAGAAGAGAATAATGGTCATTCTAAAGTGCTTTTCCCAAATAATTTTTAAATAATAAAGAAATGAATCATGTTTTTTTTTTTTCTATTTTTTTTTTTTTTTTTTTTTTGAGATGGAATCTCGCTCTGTCAACCAGGCTAGAATGCAGTGGTGCAATGTCAGCTCACTGCAACCTCTGCCTCCTGGGTTCAATTCTCTGGCCTCAGCCTCCCTGTAGCTGAGATTACAGGTGTGCTTCACCATGCCTGGCTAATTTTTGTATTTTTAGTAGAGATCAGGTTTCATCATGTTGGCCAGGCTGGTCTCCAACTCCTGACCTCAGGTAATCCACCTGCCTTGGCCTCCTGAAGTGTTGGTATTAGAAGTGTGAGCCACCGCACCTAGCCTGAATTGTATTTTCAATGAGTCACCAGAACAGCTTATTGCTAGCATCAAACCCCAATCCCTATGTCATATTTCTGCTGGACAACATTTATTTGCAGTAGGCCACAGCAAAGAATTTACAAGAGAAGTATATCAACTCTGTGGAGTAGTAAAAATAAGTAAAAACCCACAGGCAACTGAGTAAATACAGAAGCATACTCAAAAACAATTCTATCTCTTGCTCATGAACTATGCTTAACTCTCAGGGATCACTTCTTTAAAGCATATTCTAGAAATTATTAAAGGTATGGAAGAGAATTTATTTAGCTTTATGAGGCTTTACTTCACAATATACATACCCTTGGCACAGGAGGGCCCCATTAAAGTTTCATAAACTGCTTAATAAATACTTACATTGATTTTATGAGGCTTTCAGACATTAAGTTTGAGAAAGTTAATGGTTATCAGGATTTGTATACAAGATCACAAAACAGTAAAATAAACCAAAGAACAAGACTTCCTTACACCTCTAAAACATAATAAATTGCAATTTCTAGTGAAATCTTCATTCCTATGCTATATTCATTTTTGTCTCTTAACTATTTTCCATTTTATGCTCTTTTTTAGAATCTTTTGCATGATCTCTTCTGTCTTAATAGTACAGTCACCTATTTTAGCTTGACTATATTTTTATCATAAAGAGTAGGATATACTTATTAAGCCAGTTATACTCCAATAAACTTGTGAATGAAAAAAAAATTAGAGAAGAAAGAATTAAGAACAAGTAATGGAGTCATCATTTCACTGATCCTCCCCCAATTTCAGGAAAATCATGTCCCTAAAACAGCAATTCTGACTGATAAATTTTTCCATGTCTAAACAGAAAAAAAAGTGAAATTATGGGAATCTTATGAGACTTTACTAGACATTGTGTGCTTTTAATAGTTCAACACTGGTAATATTTGATAATCAAGAGTAAATTAATAGGCTAACATTTAAAAATGTATACTTTAATAAGTATAAAGTATATAAACAATTAGGTAAGCTGTGGAAAAGCTGACCAAGATACATAAATTAGAAGATACAAGTGTCCATCTAAATTTTCTATATTTCATTTTTTTTTCAGAATATTTATTAAAGGGTTTAATATACAGTTTCTCATCTGTCGTTTCAGAAGTCCTTTATTGTAAAGACAATTCTGTTGTCTGATGACAAACAGCAGCCAACATGGTTATTCAGGACCTCCACGCTGAAAAGGAAAAAATAAAGCAGTAAGATTAGATGTTAAATTGACCCGGGACATGTTTTGATGGCCACTTTACAAATTTATACACTCTTCAGCAAGTAATCTTTGGTTTTTAAAAAACAGTTTTGAGGCCGGGCTTGGTGGCTCATGTCTGTAATCCCAGCACTTTGGGAGCCCGAGGCAGGTGGATCATGAGGTCAAGAGTTCAAGACCAGCCTGGCCAACATGGTGAAACCCTGTCTTTACTAAAAATACAAAAATTAGCCGGACATGGTAGTGCACACCTGTAATCCCAGCTACTCAGGAGGCTGAGGCAGGAGAATAGGTTGAACCGGGGAGGGGGAGGTTGCAGTGAGCCAAGATCGTGCCATGCACTCCAGC